GATTTCAACTAAAAAAACAGATTAAACTAAGATTCTAAACTAAATTCTTTGTAAGAACATCTCCATAACGATTTGATTTTGAGTATTTTATATGTTAATTTATGAAGTAATAAAAAGTTAGAAAAATTAAATTAAACAGACCTAGGTGATAAGAAATAGGAGCGAAGATGAAATTACTAAAAAGGGTGGTAAAATGAAAAAAAAAAAAAAAAGGAAGAAGAAATTGCAGGACAAATCGTCACATCCAGTTCCTTACAGTTGGAAAGGAGAATATGATAATAAGGGTACAACATAAGGTGCTCTAAAATACTGGAAATTACAATACCGCATCCTACTTAAACAAGAAACTTACACGCTGCATACAAATGGCGAAGTATAGCATTTATTCTTGAAGGAGGATTTATCTCCAACGTTGTTCTACTTTGCAACTTTGTACAACATAAGTGTTGCTTTCCTTGCGATGCATTATTTTATTCTCCTACATTTGATTTGGATGAATCTGAACTAGCCTAGATCCCCGATCCAGACAATCGGCGTTTGGAGGCGTTGGAAACGGAAACCTGACCAAGCCTGTCTGCCTTGGCCGGTACAAGTCGTTCGTTGGGTGGTATATAATGTCGCAGCCATTCCCCAGTGTAGACCTGAGTTCCATGAATGAACAGAGAATAAGGTTTAACTGAACTCATAGCTAGCATCATACCAAGTTTCATGCTATCTAGTATCTAGTCTGAGAAGATAGTTTACAAAGATCTGGTAAGAAGAGAACTAACCTGTTGAGGTCGAATTATCTTAGTGTCGGGATCATCCAGCGATTCTCGCCAATGTGCCAAGTATCCAGCCATTCGAGGGATTGCAAACAGCACAGTGAAAAATTCAGGTGGAAATCCCATAGCCCTGATCAAACACGTCATCAGTTATCGACTCCTCAAGAGACGGATCGCTTGTATATCTTCATTAGAAAACTAAAATATACCTTCCTACCTATATATTAATCCGGAGTAAAAGTCAACGTTTGGGTATAATTTCCTCTTGACAAAATACTCATCTGAAAGAGCAGCCTTCTCCAGAGCAACAGCCACCTATATGGCACCATAATCATTGTTAAACAATGCTCAAAGAGGAATTGCTTCTCGCTCTTAGAGAGTGTAAGCAGATCGCATTTTCACATGGAAACAATTGTCAGACGAATACCTCAATGAGAGGATCCCGACCAACAATGGAAAACACTTCTTCGGCAAGTTTTCTTATAACCTTAGCTCTTGGATCGTAGTTCTTGTAAACCCTATGGCCAAAACCTGACATCTTCCTTTTCCTGGAGAACTAAGTAACGTGAGCAATCTAACTAGCATTCCCAAGTTTAAACAAAAAATAAAGATCCTTGGGAAGTAAGAAAGTCCATTGGTACAAAGTGGTGTCTACCAGTTCTTTCACACTACAAAAAGAGAACCAAGTAAAAATTTAACTTATGGGCACAAAGTGGCAAGTACCTGTTTTTAACACCCTCGATGAATTCTGGAATATTATTAACAGTTCCAATCTCACTTAGCATTTTAAGCACAGCCTACAATCATCAGGAAAACAAAAGAAATGAACCAAAACAAATCAAGAATGTCACAAAAGAGCAAAGTGGTAGTGTTTAATCCATGGAGAGAACCCCATACAATCATTGGGAAACTAGCTGATTCCAATCGCCGGGGGAAATTGCCTTTATGCTTACCTCATTGGCCCCACCATGAAGAGGGCCATACAGTGCTCCGACAGCTCCAGAAAGAGCAGTGAACACATCAACACCACTGAAAAGCCATAAAGGGAAGGGATCAGACAGGAATAATAGATGCCCTAATTTAGTCAGGACATTGGTACAAAAGCTGTCTACCTTGAAGCCAGATGGCGAGCAGCAGATGTTGAGCAGTTCATTTCATGTTCTGCATGAAGGATGAATAGAATGTCGAGGACTCTAGCAAGCCGAGGATTGGGTTTGTAAGACCTATTACCCCTGCATAGATAAAAGTCTGGATCAGGCCCAAAGCCTTTGTTTTTCTACATCCTGGATAGCAAGTACAATGCTATACTACTCACACAAGTATTCAATTTAGCAAAGGTAAATAAGATGGCATTTCTATTATATAATAGAACCTGTCCTCATATATTAATGAAAACAAAGATGTCTAGGCAACTTACAAAGAATCAAGCATGTACAGGAAATTCTCCGAATAAGAAAGATTGCTGGAAGGGAGAACTGGAGGTCTTCCAGCAAGTCTAAGATAAGCTGCTGCTGCAATGGTGGGAGCCTATAAATTCAGATAAAATACCCAACAAATTAGTTGGTAGTTCCATACATCTAGAAGGAAGTAACATGGAGGTCTCAAACTATAATGAACATTCTATGAAAAATTACATTGGCAGGCAAACCAAAAAAAAACTACATTGGCAGGCAAACCAAAAAAGTAATACTGGCATAACAAAAACTGATGAAATAAACTTAGCTGATAAAATGTTCATAGAAAGCATACCTTCCCTATAATACGAGCTATTTGTTTGTCTCTCACTTGCTTAGACTTGTAAAGATCTTGTCCCTACAGCAAAACAATGGTACACGACTAAATACAAAAAACCTTTCACATCACAAAGCCTTAAAAGATAGATGCACAGAGTAACAACGACATCATGAAGCTTTCGTCAAGAGTTGTACAGTTATTATGTTAGTTTATATAGATTTTTTTTATCAGCTTTCTTACGTTTTTATATAGTATTTTCCAATTTTCTTGTAATACCATATAAATCCAAAATCAGGTTGTAATTGGGACTTCTAACTGATGAATATGTGAATTTTACTTCAATGAAGGTTTCTTCCTTCTCGAGATGGATTTCCCATCTATTCGTGGCCATTCATGCCATTTTAAGAGAATCTGCTGCATAAAAAATAACTGAAGTACGATGAACTACATATATAAGTTATTCAGTTAAAGTAAAGACAACATGCAGTTTTAAATGTTAATTGTATACAGAAAGTGAAAAATAGAACTTTCTCCACAGTATGCCCTAAAAACTTTTTCTAGAAGAGCCACAGCGTACAAAATAATCAGTTCAAGCAGGTATAGTTTATCGTTCTCATTAGTGTTGATTAAACGAAAGTGGCACTTGACTTTAAAGCTGGGTTGACAGCTTCTAGAAGGAGGGGGAAGGAGGGACCCAAGAACCCAGGGAACTTCCCCTTTTTCATTTTATTTTCTTCATTTTTTATCTTTTCTTGAGAGGGAGCAGTGGACGCGTCAAGAAGGAAGAAATGAAATAATTGGTCCCTTAGTCTGTCTTTCGATTAAAAATCAATATGAGCCTGATCTTTAAAATGGAGCAGAACCTTAATATACAATAACTGAGATCCAAAAATATCAACTTACTCTAAGGGCAGGATTGGCATCTGGATGAAAGACAGATAGAGCACTCATTGCACTAACAAGCACACCCATTGGATGTGCATCATGAGGCATTGCTTGAATAATATCCTATTGAAATAAGAGAGAACTCTATCAATAAGAAGCTCTTCAGACAATGAAATTTATATAAAGAAATATATGCAGGAAAACTCGATAGAACAATGCAATCGCACCACAAGTCCCTGCGGTACAGCCGAATGCTGAGAAATAGCAAATTCCCAGTCTGCCAATTGACTCTGAGAAGGCAAATTCCCATACACTGGAACAAACCAGGCATTACATCAGCATGAAATATCATACACAACCACAATGATTTTAGACCAACAAAATAGTTAAAGTGATAGCTCCTCGCAGGCTTACTCAAGAGGTATGCAACTTCCACATAGGTACTACTCTCAGCCAATTCCTCAATCGGGTAGCCTCTGTACCTAAGAATTCCCAAGTCACCATCAATATAACTGATCGACGACCGAACTGGAGCAGTGTTGAGATAGCCTGGATCATACAGCTTAAGCCCCTTGTCATTTGGTCCTGTAGTTATCTACAAATATTACGAGAAAATTCATTAAACTAAAATCGGTGCCTACTTAAATAACACCATGAAGATTCCGAGATATCAAACAACACAAGAAAAACTTCATCACGCGCATCTGACCAGCCTAAAGTTAAATCAACAACAACCAAACAAACGAATAAACCGATTCAAATACGGGAAAATATATTACAGATCCATTAATTCGTGTACCTTCTTCAAATCGGTGGCCTTGATCGTGCCTTCTTCAGATACCTGGACCTGGTACCTCTTTCCAGTTCTCTCATCTACAATCGTCAACGTACCCTTCACCAATTCAGGCGGCGCAACCATGGTCTGAGCTGACACGCAATGAGCCTCGAGGGACGAAGCCATCACCGGCGGTTCCAAGGACGCAGCGCTCAGATGCGCTGCCAGAACGGCCAAGCGATGACGAGCAACGTTCGAAGGCGACAATTCCATGTCGGTGGGCATCTGTTTTCCTTTCCGATCGACGGAAATGAGATTCTGAACGACTGAGATTACAACCAAACAATATACGAACAGGAAAGCAAATAATCTAACAATTCTTCGATTCCGCTTCTAAATTCCCTGAACTAAAAAAGGCGATACAGTTTCTCACAAGAACGAAGCGAAAATTGCTCGCATTTAAAAGGTGTGAGAAAGCTCTTTGGACAAGAAGAAGAAAAAAAGGGCGGATAACTGTGAGCTCATGCCACGTGTACTTTCCTGGCTCCATTTTTTTCCTACCAAAAATATATCAACTAAGTCAAACTATTCCATAAAATCATCACAATTTAGTTATCTCATAATGATTAAAAAAAAATGTAGATTAACATAAGACTAAATATACAAATAAGCAATTTGATATAAATTTGAAACATATCACAAAATAATTCTTTACAAGTAACTCTGTTTATATTGTGGAAAAAAAAAAAACCATAAAAGATTTTTTCCTTACTAATCAAGTGGTAAAATAAAGCTAATGTTTCCGAGAAAAGAGACTTCGAAAAAGTGGTTTAAGTAGCTCACCTCATTAGAACAAAGGTGGTTAAGATAGCTCAACTGGTTAGAACAAAAGATCGCAGATCCTTACTACAATTGTTCAAATACACTTCTGAACAAAAGCTCCAAAAGACACGTAGGCCGATCAAAAAAAATCAAATCAAACTAACATCAGAAGAGATAGAATTTTAAATTGAATAAATGACCAACCAACAATAAGAAGTAAATCAAATTTGAACCAGACTTAAAATATGTGATAACAAGAATTCAAGACATTAAAAATGACATTGATAAAGATGAATTATACAAAATTCTCCAAAGTTTTATTTATATAAAAAGTCTGGCATATGAAATAATTAGAATTAGGAAATTGCTTTCTACCTACGAAATTTAGGCAAAGAATGTTATATTATGGTACAAGCAAGTCCAACACGTATTTTCCAGACAATAACTTAAAAGACCAAAATCTCAATATTGAAAAATTAATAAGATAATTGGTATTGACAAATAGTTCTGAGGAAACCACGGGCCTTGATCAATAAATTCCAAACCATTAGATAATTCATAAAAATTTATTATTGATATTTATTTTCATGTTAATTTTCATATAATGATTCAATGTTACTATACCTCACCCAATGCCACCTACGAGCAACTGTGATTGGCCGATCTTTGTGATGGAAACATGATCAACTTGATGAATCAACGGCCCCGATGAAGCGTTATCCGAATCCCGAGCAGCTACGTCTAGAAAAAGTGGGGCCCGGTGATAATGGTCTTGGGAGACTCAACAAGGATAATGAAAAGGCAAGTATAGATATTATACAATGACTTCCGGAGAAAAAAGAGAAAATTCTACGAATTATTCCATGACGATCTGAAATAGGAATTAGAAACATATTTTATGTTAAAATTTTGCATATTATTATTTTACAATATCATACAATTTATAATATAATATATTTTTTATTTTTTATTCTCAAAAAAAAAAAAACTGAATTTATTTTTTTATCTTTTTTTATTTTAAAACTTCAATTCGAATCTAGATAAGCAAAATAATAAAAATGTTATTTTTCAAAAAAACAATATTTTGCTGAACTCAGTAAATCTAAGTACAAAGAATAGATTAGTGGAAAAAAAAACTTTAATTTACGCACTTCAAAAAGTACTCGATATCCATGCCTAAGCTAAAATTCAGAGTAATAATTAAGAGTGAAGTGCAATTCAGAGCATGCTTTTCTTCCTTTTCCAGCTCAAAATTGAGATTTTTTTATTGTTTATATGAGATTGGAAGGCCCTATACGCCACAAAGAAAACAAGGTTTTTAAGGGAATGTTTAGAGGGAAGTTGATTAAGGGTAACTATTCAGTTTCAGGGCAAAATTAATACTTGTTATGTGAGGATTAAGATTGTACCTTTGTTAGTTCGTTTGCTGGCTGATTTTTGAACCAAACGCGATGTAATCTACACTGGTATCATCTGAAAGGGACCATTGCCCGGTTAAGGGATTGCACACAAATCCAGCCATCTCTTCACCTGAAACAACCAGCCATACATGAATTGGGTGATACGACAAGAGAAAACGGCGACCGCTGAAGAAGGGTTATGTAGAAACATAAAAGATATGGATATTTATGCATTAGTCTTATTGAAATAGAGGCGCGTTGGAATATCAGAATCAATTCTTCAGGGGTAAATAAGCTCAAACATTCAGAATTCCCGGAACGGTATGAGGTAAAAAGAACATATTAGTTTCACTAGTATTGCATTGTATTTTAAACTTTATATTCCAGGAACCATGAATACCATATCATATCTCGAATCACAGCTCAAGACCATTCTATACACATAATTTTACTCTAGCAATTCTAAGGAAGAACTAGATAGGAATCACATACCTCCACAGTTGTATGATATTGTCCACTTTGAGTATAAACTCTCATGGTTTTGCTTTTGGTTTTCCAAAAAGGCCTCATACTAATGGAGATGTATTCCTTACCTATAAACTGATGATCAACCCCTTAATTAGTCCATGTGAGACTTCTCTTCCAACAATCCTCAACAGAATTCCTGTGTGACTAAAAGAACGAGAGTCATCAATAGGAAATCAGGTTTTGAAAACTACTCATCTACATAAAATGAATATGCATGGAATTCTTAGCATTTTGAGGAGGATCTTTCATTTTAGAAATTACTAATGCATTAACTAACAAGGAAATTCCAATAGATAATGAACCCAATTTAAAAGAACACAGTTGGCCACAAGGTATAGGAAGAATACATTGCTATCTATGCATTGCCTTACTCTTAATTAAAACTATGACTATCCTGTAATGGAATGGTAGTAGTGGTTCTTCCTAAAGATAACTAAAAAGGTTGCATAGCTACAGGAATTATCAAAATAAAAAGGGTTCAGTGTAGAGTCAGTACTTAGCCATCATGATAGTTACTGGAACCAATGTGCCTAGATGATCTGGCATGTGGTGGAGCCCCACATCGGCTAATTAAGGAGTTGATCATGGGTTCATAAGTAAGGAATACATCTCCATTAGAATGAGGTCTTTTGGGGAAACCAAAAGTAAAGTCATGAGAGCTTATGTTCAAAGTGGATAATATCATACCATTGTGGAGGGTCCGTGATTCCTAACACGGTTGAGAATAAGCCGGTGAAGTACTTAAAATGCCAGAAAAGACTGAATCTGATAAGTGAGACTCTCGTAGGGTTCATCACATGGAATGGCTTAAATGGCCCTTCGGATTCCCACCTGAAAACTAAAGCACCCCATTCTTTACAAATTTTACCAGATGCTTTAATTCTTACTATGGCATGAACCATGATCTAGAATGAAATATATTCAAAGGGCACTGGCCATGAACACGAATAATAGCAAGACGTGGATGATATCAGAGACACATTCACAAAGACACATATGCTGCAAACTTTGAGAATTCACATATTATCCGGCAACAAATGAGATACTTCACACATACCACCATATGAATAAAATGACTAAAAAGATATTGTATACTTTTTCTTGCTTCACCAAATTAGGGACTGCGACACACTAAATATCAAAAGAATTCATTCTAATTTATAAGAAGTCTCGGCTTGGATTAGCACTAGATATATGAGCCAACATAAGCATTAACAAAGGTTATACATGACATCTATATAGAACCTTCAAGCATCGCGATTCGATATTTAGTGATAAAATGTTATGAAAATTTCGTTGCACAGACGTGTGTGTGTGTAAAAGAATCGGACCAGATGACAGAGGATTGATTTCCAGGAAAATGAGGGAGAGAAACCTAAAAGATCTCCAACCATCTAAATATCATATTCCCTACATTTGTAATAAGAATTAAACCCTATAAGCTACCAAATACTTTCAAATTTCTAAATCGCCAACTCTATTTCTTCAACGAAAAGAAATCATCTAAACAATGCATCTATTTAGAGAATTCGAGGATTACTAGGTTTCGGAAATGGCGGAGAATCTGGAAAGCTCGAGTTGATTCACAGACAAGGTACCCGTAGCTTATCTGACTATTTTCTCAGGACAATGCGGACTTTGCAGCTCTGCATTTTGAGAAGAAACGTCGGGAGAGGGCGGCGGCGAGGACGCATCAGAGAAGTGCCTGATATTGAACAGATGTAGGTAACAGGAATTCCGATGCCATGGAAAACGGTGGAGCTTAGAGCTGGTCGATGCGGAATTTGGAAGCCGCGAGCGGGAGAAACTGGAAGGGTGAAATTTGGAGGGAAAGGCCCTTACACGTGAAATATCAAGGCGTTATATATTTACATTTTAAAAGCATTTTTAAGAAAAAAATAAATCAATTTTACCAATAAATAACAACACAAACCATATTTAATAGTATTTTTCTTTGGTTATTGGTACGAGCCAACCTAATTCCTTACTAACATAGAATTACTCTAAACAAAACATGATTAATTATAAAATCTGAGTCACGGAAAAGAAAGGTGCACAAAATAAAATTTTCAGTTATTTTAAGCTATTCTTATCGTATCTTCAAGATTGCTCTCATTCGGACGTAGTCTCGGTTAATTTATGTGTCCCTTATTTACTCAGGTGCCACGATTTATTTTCAAGCTTTATTGGATCATTACCCTAATTTCTCAACTAAGTTACCAATATCAATGGGGTGAAAATTGCGTTACGAAAGATTTAAAAGACAAGATTTACTACATACATTAACTAGTTCGATTACAATAGATTTAAACTCCTATCAAAACTTAACGAAATAAGATAAATCGTATAACTTAACACCAAAGTCGAGATCAAGGTATCAAACTTGTGATTTAGTAAGCTGCCAACATTTCAAATAGTTGGTAGATTGGAAATCTATCCCGACGAACATAAAATGGTTGAATTTTCTATCCATCAGCAGTCATATTCCATTGCCATGAAAAAAGGGTAACTTTCCATTCATATTATGTAAAAGTAAAAACAAAGTTGTGCAGTAAAGAGGTAACTTTCAGAAAGTGAAAAACTAGAGAGAATAAGAGAGTAATGGTACTATGTAACATATTTTTACTTTTTATCACTGTTGGTGAAATGTTAAAGTAAATTTTGTTTTGAGTTTGGTGGGTGCTTTCCAGCTCCTACAATATTCAAGTGTCCTTTTGAAGTTCAGTTTCTTCTGATGGCCTTGTTTCATCAACCTCTACTGTTCCTGTCCCAACGTGCCCCACTTGTTTGCTTTTTCAAATTTTCTAACTCCTCTTTTTCACTATTTTTGTTTTTTTTTTGTTTCGTGGTGTAACTGTACAACCTACTACTAGTAAATACTATCTGCTTTGGCCTATGACGTATCGTCGTCAGCCTCACAGTTTTAAAACGTGTTTGTTAGGGAGAAGTTTCCAGACTCTTATAAAAAGTGTTTTGTTTCCCTCTCCAACCAATGTGTTATCTCACAATCCACTCTCTTGGGAGCCAAGTGTCCTCACTGGCACACCGCCCGATGTCTGGCTCTAATACCATTTGAAATAGCCCAAGTCTTTCACTAGCAAATATTGTCCGTTTTGGTCTGTTACATATCACCGTCAGCTCATGGTTTTACAACATGTGTATTAGGGAGAAGTTTTCACACCCTTATAAGAAGTGTTTTGTTTCCCACTCCAACCAACGTGGAATCTCAAATTCACTCATTTGGGAGCTAAACGTCCTCACTGGCACACCGCTCAATGTCGGGCTCTAATACCATTTGAAACAGCCCAAGCCTTCCGATAGCAAATATTGTATGTTTTGGCCTGGTACGTATCACCGCCAACCTCATGGTTTTAAAACGTGTATGCTAGGGAGAGGTTTCCACACCCTTATAAGAAGTGTTTTGTTTCACTCTCCGACCAATGTTGGATCTCACAATCTACCCCTTCGAAGCTAGCGTCTTCACTAACACATCGCTCGGTGTCTGACTCTAATACTAATTGTAACAGCACAAGCCCACCACTAATAAATATTGTCAATTTTGGTCTATCACGTATCGTCATTAGCCTCACGATTTTAAAGCACGTATCTTACCGATAAATTTACAAAATGCCGTGACAAAGTTTGGATCTTGGGAAAGCTGCAGCCTTTTAAGGGTTTTAAAGAAATGATCAGCACAGGCCATGTGTGATCAAATGAATGTCAGGAGTTGTCTCGCTTTGCACAAGCGTGTGGAACCATCATCAATAATGGCACTGAGAACGACACGTTGTTTTGGAATTTTGATAGCAACTCACCCTATCTCTTTTTCATAATGTCCTTTGGATATTCCAACTTTGACTTGACCCATTTTGAATTTGATTCTTTGGTTTCAATTGAAAGAACCACAAGAATGAAGAAGTCATTTGAAGCAGAATGAATCAATTTAAACAAGAATGAGATCATAATGGAAGATTAAATGATGCAAAAACAAACAAATAACAAAAGCAAAAGGATTACAGAAGCTTGATTTAGCAGGAGATTCGTTCATTGGTTGGATGAACGAGCCATCTTCCTGATTGCTTCCACAGACATTGACACCAAATTTCTGGGCAGTGGGTTCAGAAGGGCTAAAGCAAAGGCCTGGATTGCCACTGAGATCCAAGTTTTTGCCCAGCCTTTTCAAGAAACTTGAGTTGAAAGGCACAGCGCCGGTGAGGGAGTTTCTGCTGAGATTCAAGTGATATATGTGAGAAAGACCACTGAATCCAACAGGGATCTGGCCACTTAAATGATTGTTTTGCAATGATAAAGTGGTCAAGTTTTTTAGCAGTGAAAAACTTGGTGGAATGATGCCAGAATAGCCACAGCTTGCAAGCCTGAGTTCTTGAAGTTTCATTAGTTTACCAACAGGTAATGGCAGAGGAATTTGCATTGGATTGTCATCCATGATGAAGTATTGCAAGTTCTGCAACTTTTCCAATCCTTTTGGGAAGTGCCCACCAAGTTGGTTGCTGCTCAAAGCCAAAAACACCAATGAATTCACCTTCTCAATAGTATCAGGGATGTTGCCTGTGAGTGAATTGGAGCTCAAGTCAAGTTTTTGAAGCAGACCCAGTTGGCCAATTGAGGTTGGGATTGGTCCAGTGAGTGAATTATAGCTCAAGTCCAGTCCTTCAAGGCTTCTGAGCTTACCCAACTGAATTGGTATGGTGCCTGTGAGCAAATTGTAGCTCAAGTCAAGGTGCAGCAAGGAAACCAAGCCGAAAATCTGAGGCGGAATCGTCCCAGAAAGGCGGTTCTGAGACAATGTGAGGATCTTCAAGGACTCAAGGGAAGAAAGTCGAGGCGGGATCGGACCGACAAGCGCCGGGTTGGATCGGAAGCTAAGCTGTTGTAAGGAGGAATTCAAGAAGGCTGTAGGGGAAACAGAGAGAGTGGTGTTGGTGTGAGTGAAACAATTGAAAAAGAAAAGAGAATGAAGAAGAGGGAGATCAAAGATGAATGAAGGGAATGTGGCAGTGGGTTTGCAAGTAGGATTAGGGGAGGTACCAAAGTCAAGCCTTGAGACATGAAGGAGATTACTGTTATTGGGAGCTGATATGCACTCCAATCCAGGCCATGAGGCGCCTGGCTGACAAGGGTTGGGGTGAGAGAGCCGCCAGTTTTTATCGGAGGACAAGGACTCCATGATCTTGAAAAGAGTCTCAGCTTCAAAGGGAAGCATGGAATTGGGTGCTGCAACATTCATTGCAGCCATGGTTGAGGAGGAGGAAGCAGAGGGAAGTGAAAACAGAGGAAGAAGAAGAAGAAGAAGAAGAAGAAGAAGCAGAGAGTGTGGGAAGAAACAGAGCATTGTTGGGCTGTGGAGTGGGATTTGGGAGAGTGATCAGTTCAAAGAGGAGTTGTTGGGTTGGTTTATGGTATCATTTCAAATGGCTATCTGCGAGGGGGAGGATGTGATAGAAGTGATTGAGATGGGTATTTTGATTGGGAACTATAAAATAAAACAAAGAGAGGCGCATGTGTTTCAGCGTTTTGGACACATAATATTCCATATATATTCTTGTTTCATCATAAAAACTTCACAAAACACAATACAAAAAAACATTAAAAAAAGCGTAAAATCTATAATCTCGATTGTTCACGCATTTGTCACTTACAGCACTTTTTTAAAAGACGAAGCCAAGGTCCCAAGTCTCCGAGTCAGCCTGTACTTTGTCAAAAAAATCTGTACCCATAGGCATACGGCCTGACAGTCCTTCCCTTCCGCTAGGCCAATGGGGCATACGGCCTAGCTGGGAGCTTGATGGGCGCTACCCCGTTCCACAATCAGACGTTTGAATCCCCTTTAAGAGAAAGGTTAAAAAATGACCAGATTTTGAAACAAAGTATTAGTACAGAGAGGTTTCTAAATAAACAAAAAGGAACCATCTGATTATTCAACCAGACTGGGATGAAGTAAATATCATTACAATCTAATTAATCAATGAAAAATAAAATAAATACAGGATTAATTTATTTTCCCTCGCTGCCCTTCGGAGACCACTCTTGGTAGTATACTCTCTACCCAACAAAAGTTACTGAATGTGAGCTTTGTCTCTTCACCTCCAAGTTCCAAATCCAACAAAAAAAAAAACCCTAAACCATCAAAGAAAAAACATGGTCATTCATACAAAAACTACAAGCTGTATGTATGTCCCAAATTTCATAAGCTCAGTAAAAATACATTAAACTAACGAATCCCTGAATTCAACGTCGGTTGATATTCACAACCACAACTCTAACATCATTTAAAATCGATAGTCTCTAAAAGTTAGAGATCAAATAACAAATTTAGTCTTTAAACTTTAAAATCCGAGTCTATTTAGTATTTTTAAGTCATAGAGCTTTCAAAGTTCTATAAACATAAAATTCATAGAACAATTAATAATTAAAAATTTAGAAACAGTTAGAAACTTATTAAACACAAAATATAAAGTTTAGGAACTTATTAGACACTTTCAAAACTTCAGAAAATGAAAACTCACCGGCAGTGGTAGCTAACGATTGTTTCCTTTCGGGCTACCCTACTTGCTTCAAGAACTTCCAAGTGTGCTCTGATCCAAGGGAAAGTTTGAAATTACTTCCCAATTCAAAATATTAAATAAAAAGAGTAGAATAAAGATTATGTCACTCACCAAATATGAATAATTTATAAAAAAATTTGCATCCCAAAGTCATCAGAGAGCTTCAAATGACTAAGCCTATCATCCATCGAAAATTTAGGCATTAGCCTTGGGCTGCACGTTCATCTGTGTGAGGAGAGCTCTTAATAGAGCCATGGCAAAGTTCAGAACTGTTAATATTGTTAGCTGTGTTTGGAAACTTCAGTAGATTAACATCCTCGGTCGAATGATAATTGGCTTCCTTAGATGTAGAGAAATGCAGTGGATGACCAGCATCCATTGCGCAACAAATATGAGTATCTACGACTTCGTTTATTGTATCAGATATATGGAGGCCATTAACCTCTTTCGGTGTGTCGCATAGCTCGGCTTCATCGAGTTTGATATCAGCATGGCTTAACTCAGCCATGTTTCCCTCTGTGGCATTATGGATCATGTCAGGATGGTCAACCCCTATGTTGGGATTACATAACTGCATACTATCATCCTCGTCGACTTCGTCAATAAGCGGTAAATGATCGACCTCCGAGTCCACAGAACATAACTCTCTATTCATGTGATGGAGTTGTAGTTGATCAACCTCAATGGCAGAATCACAAAAATTAGATTGGTTGTCCTCACCAACAGCATTGTATTGCAATTGGTCGTCCTTCCTCGAACGTTTTCCTGTACCTTTCCTTCTGACCTTCTCTTTTCCCCTTGTTCGTTTCCCGAGTTCGATCTCGGGACTGGAGGGCAATATAATTGGACCTCCAATTTGGCCTCTTAAACATTCATGTGCAATGTATCTTATCCTTGAAATCAAATCAATTTGTTGCTGATCTAACCCATTGGTTGAGAATGTATCTGCTATGTGCGCAATATCCCTCAACCCAGAATTCTGTTAAAGATTAAAAAGATTAAAATGAAACAAAATTTGCATAATAACCTTAAAATTATGACCTTACCGTCCTCTGAAACTCAGATGAGAGAGATATAGGCCTCCCAATGAACCGACGAGTAATTTTCAGGTACCATTGCATGTATCCATTCTCATCTACACAATCATCACCATCAACAATCTGGAGTCTACGGTTTCCCCATTCATTAAGCTCAACTTCCATTTTTGCTGATAGGTCAACTCCTCCGTCGACGCCCCGGCTTTTTCTTTCCCACCGTCGTACATCTTCTGGGATCGCCTGAAGCATACCATACTGCCTTACACAACGGTCAGGAAGATGCTTCTCTGCTTTATCAAAGCATATCAACATTGTCTTTGCCCCCCCAAGTATCAGAGAACTTTTAATATCATCAGGCATTAGGATACTATCCATATTTCTATAAGGTAGCCACTCCACCTAGAAGATAAAGTACAAATCTGGTCACACACAGCTGAATTTATAATAAGATCAGAAAGAAAGAACATATAGAAATTACATCACAAGGCTTCAGGGAATCCAAAGCCTTTCGGTAAAAAACGATATCACGATTTGCTGTCGGACCGCTTTGTTTGCCCTTCCATCTAAGCACAAACGGAAAGCGATTACGCAATGGATCATGATTTAGCTTTGGACGTCCAATATTAAGGTGAAAATAACTCCAACACTGGAAAGTAAAACAAAAACAACGAGGGCATTTTATTAAAACAAACAAACAAACAAACAATGCAGCTAAAGAAGATAAACAGATCACGTGATGAGAGTAGGAGATAGGAACAAATAATTTCAAGTAACCTGAAATAAGGTTAAGCAACCGCTGATGGTACTTTGTGATCTTAATGAAGCATTCCCAAGAGCTCTATACAAAAATGCTAAAGCAGCTGCTCCCCAAGCAAGTTTGCCACACTGGTCAAAATCCTTAAACAAAGGAAGGTACATGACAGGTACTTTGTTCCCGGTTGTCGTGGAAAATATTGTACTGCCTACAAGGTAAAGAAGGTAAGCACGTGTATGGCGTTCGACGATTTCCATTGGAGCATCTTCGGGGCACCGAGAAAAGAGCTCTTTCAACCAACTAAGCTTAACCATTCCACCACTCGTGTAGCCATGATCTGGAGCTCTGCCTAGATACATCTCACACACAGAGTGGCAGGTTGTGTATGTTAGACCAATAACAGGGTCTCCATCAATTGCAAGTCCCAGTAAGACAGCAACATCTTTCAGGGTAATAGTCAATTCACCAACGTTCAAGTGGAAGGTATTTGTTTCTCTTCTCCACCTCTCAACCAAAGCAGAGATTAGTGGGTTATCAAGACTAATTGCAGGAATCAATCTTAAGTACCCAAATCCAGCTCTCTCAACCAGTTCAATTTGCTTGGCTGTAAGTGTCCACTGATCAAGCTTGGAAGTGTGCTCATGACACCTAAGTGCGCCACGCTCCTGTTCATACATTAGTTTGATTGAACCATTACTTATGATCTAGAACACTAAATTTCAGATGACAATAATAAAGTTCATCTGATTAGAAACTGCACCTGCCCATCCCAAACTGCTGAGGATACATGCTTCTCTTGGTCATATAGAACAGAGCTATCGATCGGCCCAGGATTGGTCCCATAAGGATCCATTAATGATACTTCCATCGATCCCACTGATCAGAACAGCAAAATGAAAGAAAAACAATCCCATTTAACTTAAATCCAACATCGATAAGTTGGTCATATTTTGTACAAGTATGCATGGATCATATTAATAGGCTCGAGTACTGATCAATTCTATAAAACATATCAAGGAAACTTCACCGTAACTTAAAGAAACATGCACAAACATGACCGATCAGGAAGTAACAGACTTTCAGCACACATGATACCCCAAGCCCACTGCTAAAAGATATTATCCTCTTCGACTTTCCTTTCCAAACTTTTCCTTGTGTCTGCTAGGGAGAGGTTTTCACACCCATATAAGGAATGTTTCGTTCTCCTCTCCAACCAATGTGGGATCTCACAATCCACCCACCTTGGGAGGCCAGCATCCTCGCTAGCACATCGCCCGGTATCTGACTCTTATACCATTTGTAACCGTCCAAGCCCACAGCTAGCAGATATTGTCCTCTTCGGGCTTTCCCTTCCAAGCTTCCCCTCAAGGTTTTAAAAAGCGCTTACTAGGGAGAGGTTTCCACACTCATATACGGAATGTTTAGTTCTCTTCTCCAACCAATGTGGGATCTCACACTCCATCCTAATAGTGTTTGTAACTGCCCAAGCCCACCACTAGTTGATATTGTCCCCTTCGGGCTTTCCTTTCCAAACTTCCCCTCAAGGTTTTAAAACATGTATGCTCCAACCAACTGGGATCCATAGTACAAATACTCATGGAATTGCCTGAGACTCGAACAGCACTGTAAGACGTCAATTTCACCATAATTAAAAAGAAAACAGCAAACAGAACCAATCCTGATTCCCGAGTAAACTTCGTTCCACATATTTCATCTTTAAAAAGATTCTAATCGACCCACTAAAGATCCCCGAACGTCCGACAGGGAATTAGCATTAAAAAAAACCAACATCATCATCCAAAAAAGTTTTGGCCCAACATTCAACAATCTATCACAGATACATAAACGTAAGAAACCCCATTTCATCAGTCATTACTCATTAGTCAAATCTTGATCTCCAAATGATAAAAAAGAAGAGAAAAAAAATAATTGAGTTGGTTGATAATTCATAATTCGGTTTTGGCGCGCGCAGAATTGTTAGTTGAATCTAATAACGCGAAAAAGATGCAACGAAGAAACAGAAAGAAATTAATAGAGAGGGAAAGAAAACCCTAAGATAATCGTGAGAGAGCGTGATATATAAATGGTGTGGAAAAATTAAAAGGAAAAAAAAAAAAAAAAAAAAAAAAAAAAAAAAAAAAAAAAAAAAAAAAACGGGGGAGGGAGTTGGAACCTGGTGAATGAAGTTAGCCCAAAACGACGACGGAGAAGACGACCTTCGCACCGAATGGATAAAGAAAATAGAACCCTCGAAACGACGAGAGCAACGTCGTAGGATGCTGGATAACGACTGGGTAATTTTTTAATTTTTTTTTTTAATTTCTTTCTAAATTTCTAATTTCCATCTTTTTCTTTTTTCTTTTACTTCTATATGCTATTTTGAGGTGGGAGTAGCCACGTGGCAGAGTCAGAAGCTTACAACCAATATATATATATATATTTGGCAATATTGATTTTTAACCACCATGTAAAAAGCTGAAGCTCATCAATACAAATAGTGATAATGAACTTAATTTTTTAAAATTAAATAATTATTGAACAAAACTTTAGAAAATTTCCTCCTAGATTTTTCGTTTATTTTTCATTGTTTCTCAATTGATTATATGCCTTAAAAATAGAAACATTTTTTATGGTGCTTAAATTTAAACAAACTGAAGCTAATTGTATAAATATTATATTTTAAGTTAAATTGCCAATATAATAAATTCAAATATCAATTATGTCTAATAAATTCAAATGGTAACAAAATTCAATTTTATATCCCTTAAACTAAACTTATTGTATATAAAATGAAATTTAAGGATTTATTGAATAATTTAAAGGTTTAAGCCGCCATTAAATACCAATTTAAAAATTAAAAGACATAATATTCGCTCTTTAAAGTTCAAGAATCTATCAAACAGAAACTAACCTTTTAATCTAACCAAGATTCTACCTTCAGGTAAAATCAATTATATAAATGATCAATGCAAGAACAAAAATCAAACTCAGGAAACTTTCAAGGGAAGATTCAGTTTTTCCATGAAAAAAAACTCAGTTTTGATTTGGAAGGAAACAATCACTGTTAAAAAGGAAAGCGATCATGTTTTGATTGTAGCCATGAGGTTGATGAGAGAAAGGTTAGCCCTGTTATTAGGGAGGATAAGTCCCAAAATTTCACCTTATTCTAAATTATTAGCAAGAAGGTACAATAGACAAATTATAAAACATACAATATAATACAAATATGGATTTGATTGGCAGGCAAAATTCGATCAAAACTGGAAATGTGGAGTATTCATAAGCCATAAGTCAGTGGCAAAATATTTATGTAAGAGAATCAATAGATGGGAACTGAAATTTGCCATTTTGGCATCAGCTTCTTCAGTGATTCCTGTAGAACGTAAAATCTTGGTGTAAAAGCAGTAAACGTTAGCTATTGAAAGAACTGGAAGAAGTTTGCATATGCCATAGGCTTCACGTCAGGATGTGGCTGCAGGACCATAGAAAATCAACGGTTAAATCACAATGGCCTTAAGAAATGCCAAGTCGAGAACGAAAGCTAGGTTAGTAGGAAGAGAAAGGAAAAACTGACCACGGCGGAGAATGTGACGATGTTTGGCTTCATATCGGGTGCTTCGAAATGAATAAAAGCACCTTTGTTGCCCATCTGCCATATGAAGATAGCTTATCAAATTCAAACAAACTATCCCTAAGGTATACTCATATAAAGGCCAAAGACAGCAAGCAGCCTGCCGAGTAAAACAACTTCAAGGGAGTTGCTACGAGAAGGAAAATAGAATTGTCACTTTCTCTTCTGCAGGAAGCAAAAACATTAAAGAAATGCTATGACGGGCACGGTCGTCGAGGAATACACCAATGTTCATAGTTTGTTTCCCTTGTATTCTGAATAATGAAAGTTAATTCAGCTTGTTTCAAAGGGCACATCAGACTGATACACTTGCTAGGCTTTTTCCCCCTTGTTGGCTTTAACTTTAAGACTTGTGGTTAACAAGTGGAGTAATAAGTTTGTAGTTTTAAATGTATTCACCTCAATTACAATATTCATAGATTTTAAAGCGAAGGACTTACTTGATCACAGTAATTTGGAGCAGAAAATACGGTGATGAGTTTGCCATCATGCTCGATTTCGTAGCCTTCATCTTTCACCTCATGAGAACGTACGAGTAAGTCTGTGGTTTCAGTATAGGATCCTCAAGTTATAAAATGAATTACATACGCAGAGTCTATATGTAGCTAAGCCAAACCATGAAAAATACCTAAGTTATTGTCCTGCAAAAATCTTTTTGTTACATCTTCACCAAAGGAAAGACCCACACCACGTTTACTGGGACCTCGTCCGAGATAAGGTTGCGGATCACTCCATAGCAATTCACTCATTAATCCTGTGGAGAAAACGGACAGGGAACCTGGTAATTCACTACTTCAATATGGAAAAGGTAACGATCTCATGTTATAATGCCTTTGCGTTGACTAAAAAATAGTAAAGGTCGTACAAAGGCCCCAACAAAGAAAATGAAGTGCTATCAAACAATGATGGGACGAACTTACCATTGATGAACTAGCAGAAATCTTATGTTTAAAAAATATGATTATAAGTTCCATCTCAAAGTGACTCAATTTCAAACATAAATGAAAGGAACACATGAAAAGATATAAAAGGATCAACTTACCTTCCTCTGGAGGTTCGCGAAAACGGTTTATTGCTCTTATGTCAGAGAGTTTTACCCCATCATCACTAAAAAGGCCTCCATGAACGACAAAAACCTTCTTGTTCAATACATAAGCCAAAGGCAAACAACAGAAAACTTCTGAGAACAGTTCTACAAATGTTTCATTCAGCTTCGTCTTAACCTCGCCTTCAAAACCATACATTTTGTTCATACTCTTGCTCTCATGATTTCCTCTAGACAGATGTATAGCTGAGTAGGAAAAAGAGGATTTTGATTAGATGGTGGAATTTACTGTCCATCCTTAAAAATGTGAACATAAACGAAATGTCGGGAGGACTTTTTACAAAATAAAAGCACCAGAAATAGGTTTGATAAACAACTAAAAGTAGATTGTACTGTACTGATCAACTGCCTTCACAACCATTTTCAGACTCAAGGGAAAATGCCACAAATATAAAGGAAACAAAACGACTGGTCAAACCTCATAACCATATCATATCTGCTGGAGAAGTGAAAATGTGGGGTCAAACTTCAAATACAAAATATAAACTCCTAACCATTTGGAATTCTATTAAATTTACCTGATGGAGACATGCATTTAACTGCGAACAGGGTCAGAATGACCTCCAAGGAAAATGATCCCCTATCCACGAAATCGCCATTAAACAGATACGGATTACCTTCCGAGGGCAGACCATTCAGCTCAAAAATATTTAAGAGATCATAAAACTGCAAGCATCAAAAGATGAAAGCGTAAGGGAGACGACTTTAAAGATACACAGGCACAAAAATAAAAGAAAAGGTAAATGCCTATAAAATTGTTGGAGTTCATCTTAGAGAAAGAAGAATTAAATATTACTTCAAAAACTGTTCAAGTACCACATATATGGTAGAGATTAATGCAACACATCATTATCAGGCAACTAAAAGATCACAAATAATTCAGTTTGCAAGAGAGGCAATCTACAAATATATATATATATATATATATATATATATATATATATAGGAAACAAAAACACCAACACTTCCACTAAAAAAATGCCAAAGATGCAAAATACATGGACAGTGAAACGCTCTACAAGCCCCAAAGGAAATTGCAAAAGAGGATCCGACAGGCATAGATTAAGGAGAGCATAATTAGAGAACTCTTTTGGCCTAGTGTGCGCTTGAAAAGACTCTCATTACACTAATATGTGCTTGGCAGCGGTCAACTGCAGAATGCAAGGAGTATACACAATTCTTTCTTTGTGTCAATGAAACATCTACATAGGTATCCATAGGAACCCGAAAGTTTATCGTTATAAGCTCCAAAAATCATTTAAACCATTACGTTGATTATGGAGAACCACCATCTAGGTCAAGGCCCGTTAAGAATCAGAACATTGCATTACCTAAGTTGTTTGTGTTCAAAATTGAAATCAAACCTAACAATCATATACGCCTCTCTAAAAGAATGTAATACTGACCTGACCATGGACATCACCACAAACTGTGAGGCGCTTGCCTTCAGGAATTGTTATATCAACTAAAGATGGAAGAGCTTTAAATATTTTTTTTGCTTGCTGAAGAATCTGGAATACATATCTAAAGAAAAATGAATATCAGTAAAATAACTAAGCTCATTACGCATGCTAAATCGAGAAAATATTACCTACTATTGGAGGTGCAACACATACCGCTTGTGTAAGGATTTCTGGTTCTTGAAATCATCCATCATTTTCTTCACAAAACCCAACGTTATGATATCTCCCTCTATTCTTGCTCCAGAATACTGTGGTTCGACATCTACACTTAAGAAAAAAGATGGAACTATTGTCAGTGCCTAGGGAAGAAGGTAACTAATAAATCCTTTATTCATGATGTACTCTCATGAGAAGAATGAATATTAACGAGCACTGAAGAAAAATTAAATGATGCAAATACTAAATATGCCATAATGAGTTAATTCTAGACCTCTTTGTTGTCTTTTTCCTTTCTTCAGATGATAACTTTTTTACAACTTATTATAGGACCGAAACCAAATTGATTAGACCTCATTCCTAGTAGGGAAGAAAAACCCATTAATAGAAAAAACCTAGTTCTCACTACATATGCACTGAAAAGCATCACGGGCAGAATTCTTAGTGCAGTAATTTTCTACTAGTTTTGACAATTTTAAGAGAAAAAAGAAACCTAGAGTATTTGCATTGATACCGCCTTCACTGCCACCCCACCAACGTGTGCCCATGATTATCAGCACCACCACTGCTATTGCAGCTACTAATGTGGCAACTTTTGCGCTAAGAGTTGAAACTGCGATTGCTGTAGTTGCTACTGCTGCTGCTATTATAGCCATTTGGGTCGGTAATGACGTTGAACTTGAACCTTTCCCTATAATAATGGATTACAGGGAAAAAGAAATTTTAATCAACAGTGACTAATTACAGAGAGGTTTGGCACTTTAAAAGCATATGAAATTCATTTTCTGTCTTGTCCAGGTTATATATTTTCAGTCAGCTAATAGTTTTTAATATAATTTTAAGAGTCCTTAACTTTTATTTTTGTTACAAAACTAACCGTCATTTAGAAAAATTAAGGAATACAAGGGCATACAAAAAAGAAGCCC